ACCCAGGCTGTAGACGACGTCCATAAAGTAGAAGCGCTGCTACGTGTCTACCAAAACCTGCTTCGGAAGGATAGTGGGTCAGGCTTGCCATCACATCCGCACTGCTCAACTCGCTATACAATGCGGGACATTATTCTCAATGTGCTAGAGCTTTTCACAGTGCTGGCCAGTTTGAACCCTTATAAATAAGCTGGTCCTGACAGTGTACATCCCTCCATAGTTAAGCCGCTGGCTGATATCCTTCAATATCCTGTCGCGGAGTTATTCAACCAGTCTCTTCAATAAGGCAAGCTGCCACGTGATTGGAAGGAGGCGACCATTGTTGCCATTCAAGTGGGGGTTCTAAGTCCGTGCCTCTTAACTAGAGACCTGTTAGTTTGACCAGCATCATGCTGAAGTGCTTGGAAAAGCTTATAAAAAATAGGATCTGTGAGCAGTTGACTGAGCACAATCTAGTTAGAGGGAAACAGCATGGCTTTCTTAAAAAAAGTCTTGTCTTACCAATTTATTGTGCTTTTTAGACGAGATTACCCGATGTCTTGATAGTGGGATGTCGGTAGACGTGTGCTATTTGGACTTCAATAAAGCCTTTGACTCAGTGAATCATCGATTTTTAATTGAGAAGCTGACGTGGTTTGGATTGCATCCTCAACTATTACTGTGGCTCTCTGAATTCTTACGTGGCAGGACATTCAGAGTCAGGGTTGAGGAAGCGAGTTCTAGTGTGGGCCACGCCTACAGCTGTGTTCCCCAAGGTTCGGTACTGGGTCCATTGTTGTTTCTTATGTTTATAAATGACCTGGCTTCTCTTGAGGATCCCTGCTATATCTTCGCAGATGACTTAAAGCTAGTCAGTAGGGGAAATCGAGCGACATTGGCTAAGGACATAATCACTGTGGTGAATTGGTCGAGCCAATGGCATCTACCTCTGAATGCCAATAAATGTCAACTATTGACCAATAGTGGCAGCGGAATTGCATTTCAGCCTCCTGCAGGATCTCTATCATTTCGGTGTACTGATGAAGCCCGCGATCTAGTTGTCATCATAGTGACCAGTTTTAAGCCTTCGGCACAGTGTCGCCATGCTGCCAATAAAGCGCGACAAGAGTTATTTCGTCTTAGGAGGGCGCTGAGTAACACTAAAGCAGAAGTATTCTTGTCGTTATATAAAGCAGTGGTTAGGCCACATCTGGAGTATTGTGTTCAGGCTTGGGCACCTTACCTCCAGAGTGACGTCATGTGTATAGAAAAGATTCAGAAACTTGCGACTAGGATGATCGAAGGTCAACAAGGGAAGTCGTACGAAGAGCGTCTAAGTACCTTGGGATTATTTTCCTTGGAACGGCGTAGGTTGAGAGGGGACTTTAATAGAGACGTTTAAGATCATTAAGGGACTTAGTGGTATTAGTCCCACCCATCTGTTTGCGTTGGCTATGTCAGACCATCTGCGCGGGCATCGCCTGAAGCTCAAACAACATAAAGCTCGTTTGAACATCAGAGCGAAGTTTTTTAAGAATCGAGTAGTTAACTTCTGGAATAAACTTCTTTCTGGTTTAGTGGAGTGTGAGTCTGTAGAAGCCTTCAAAAGGGGCTTAAATGAGTGTTGGTCTCTCCTTTTTCCAGAGATATTGTACTTGTACTGGAATATGTAGTATACTTTGATGCTGACACATGGAAGTGCAAAGATTGCTCTTGTTCTTGCTTCATTCCTTTGCAGAAGCAAGAAGTCAATCCAACGTGGAAGTACCGGGGGCCGCTTCACCTACCGGCACAAGGAACTGAACGCTCGTTAGGCGAAAGTCTCTATCGTAGGACGCTATTAAGTCCTTTTCGTTTTGCTGAGCGGCGGCCATAGCTGCCAGATCGAGTGTTTGATGCGTTGAAGCCAGGAGGTTTACTCTTTAGAGCATATCCGCGGCGACGTTGTCCTTTCCTGACACGTGTTGAACGTACGTCGAAAACTGTGTGACAAAATCCAGATGACGTACTTCACGCAAATAGTACCGATACGATGGGTTCCGGAAGAGGTCGGCGGGTGGTTTATGATCAGTGCAGATTATAAAACGGTTACCTTCCAGGACGCGGCGAAAAATGATGAACGGTGGTGTGTACGGCAATTAACTCGCGGCCAACTCTGCTGTACTTCATTTCGGTTGCCTGAAGACGTCGAGAAAAGAAGGCTAGGGGTTGCCACTTACCTTGAGAAAGATGAAGCTTTATTCCATTCTCAGACTCGTCGACTAGCCCGTGGGGCGAAACATTTTGTAGGGCAGTTCAGAAGCCCTGCTGCAACACTGTCACTTGCTGAATCACCTAAACCGACCTGGGAAGTAGATGTTGCACCTCCAATTACAAAAGTGATTCAACATGAGCTTTCTGTGTTAAAATGAAACGAGATTCATGGACTCGACGACCTTCCTCCATCTTTGCTGAAAGATGGTGATGATCTATCTAACACGATTTGGGACTGGCCACTGTCACTTGTCGTGCTCATCTACAAGGGGGTCAGTGTACTTTGTGGGAAAATCGTTGAGGAGTTAGCCTTATCTCCGTTGTCTCAACACGTGACCCAGCCACCAGAGATTGGTGCGTAAAATAACAGTGCTAAACGGCTCATTTCCCCTTTCTGACTCATAAACAAGGCATCGAATACGCTCATTGTTCACACGGTGTTCCCACTGGAAATGAGCCAAACTGCGAAGGCGCCGGTGGTCGGACATAACTGGCCTATCTTTGACAAGTGTTAGAACAGAGACACTGGCAGACGACTGATTATTGTGGTTTTCCCTGACCTGAAAACAGAATTCGACTATTGATCTAGCCAACTTGTGACACTGTCACTCAGTGATAGGAGCGCCAGCTAAACCTTACTATTCTGAAGTCTCTATCATGACTCTTGTGGTTAGGTAGGTGTTTGCGGAAAGCTGTCTTATGAGTTCCACACGACAAGTACGGTTCCCCAGGGTTGTCCTATGTCTTCTTTCCTCATCGACTTTGGGATCGAAATGATAATGAACGACTCTATTCTTTGAGTATCTAACAAAGCGGAGGTTCTATCAGGTGGCCAACTGATGGATCTTATGTATGCGGACGACATAGCTCTCCTTGGGTCTGACGCAGTGGCCCGTGCAAATACTGCTGGGTATAGACTGTTGCGTAGCGCTGTACGCTTCGGCGTGTGCTTTGCACCTTCGAAGTCCGCAGTACTGCTACAGCACTGGTTTTAGCTATCAGCGAACAACCACTGGAAGTGGTCAATCGCTTCGCTTATCTTGGTAACTGTGCTACCTCTGGTGACCACATCACTGAGAAGGATGCATCGTCATCATCATCATTGTACACGTTAGCCGCAGGAGGAAAACACAGCTATTGTGCCGCAATACAAAGGACAAGAAGAAAAACTGTGGCGTGCCGGCTGAGTCTTCAGTAACGGATGGACATCGTTCCGGAGAGCTAACAGCCGGTTATCGTACCACAAAAATTTATGTTATGCTTAACGAATGCCATCATGCTTAGAGGAGGAGGCTAAGCAGGAGAGGGTAAACAAAGGAGCTCAACATAAACGCCATTGGGTCCGGCTCTTCGCCATATCAGCAAGTGTGTCCAACCAAACATGTTCATCGTTCTTAGGACCCCAGCCAGGCAGTCGGGATGCACCAACTGACGCCATCTTCGAAGTGAGGGTTTTCATCTCTCTCGACAAAGTCATCGCTTTGCCTCCCCTCCTCTTCCAACCGCACCTCCGGCGCGCAAACAATGCACATCGCGGAAGTCGGTGTGCTGGCATGCGCAACACGTGGCCCAGCCATCGGAGCTTGGTGCCTAATATAATGGTGCTGAGCGGTTCACTCGCTCTTCCTGCACCAAATACGCTACGCCAAACACGCTCATTGCTCACGCGATGCTCCCACCAGACATGAGCTTAGCTGCGAAGGCGGCAATGATCGAACGTGACCAGTGCTGAGGTCAGCCTGTTGACTTTTGGCTAGAAGCCTTCTGATGCCTCACTCGAGTGCTTGTTGAATCACAACCGTTTACGCTAGCCTGGTCATATCCTCCGTATACCGGTCGACAGATTTCCTCGGTGTGCATTATACGATGTCCTTGCACCGAGGTGAGCGGAACTGTTGGGTGCCCAGTTCATGCCATAGTAGAGAAGCTTGAAGTAATCGACTGAGAGAGTCAAGCTGGTGTGTGCCGTCTTCCTGGATGGTGGCATCTGGACGGTCCACACCAATGGTTGGAGACCGTGTCAGATATGGCGCAGTCACGAAGTCAGTGCTGTTTCTTCGTTCGGCTTCTTTCATCTGGTTGTTAATTTTCGTTTCATTCTGACTAGAAACACTGAGTCCCCTTCAACAACTTCATTAACGCAGTAAGAAGAAATAGGTTGCGATATGTTAACATTTCGATTGCTCTCGTCAGTCGCTACGCAATACAGGCAAAACGAAACACGCAATATATAGGGTCCACACTTAGTAACATAGATAAGCAGATAAAACTGATAAGCATGACGTAATCAGGTCCAAGGCAATCTAATTGATTGCCTCAATTGTTTCTGGGCACAGAGCACGGGACAATTCATCCTTATCAGTAGCGCCTCGCCAATTGCCAACAACCTCGGGTTCCTGTTGCGCAATAACACCTTGAATGAATCGATTGGGTTCACCTGGTGACGAGTCGGCATGAGGTGTTTGGTGATAGACGAGGCAGGGTTCCGGTTCATTCTTTGGTCCGCTCCGCCTTGGTTAAACAGCAACTGCCTTAGCCACACTGGGAAGTGTTCCGCCATCCTTTGAGCCAGCCGGCGACCAGTCTTGTCTACATAAGTGTCACTGCAACTGCAAGTGAACTGGTAGATGATGTTAGAGGCCGAACTGATTGGCGAGCTACTCGGACGGCTCTGGAGTCTAACTGACTAGTCTAACGCATTTCCTTCTCGCTTTTCTTTTCTCCACATTCTATTTGCACCCAACCCCACTATCCTACCGGTGTTATTTCTTGTTATTCCTACGGTGTGAGTCTTGGCAACTGAATCCACCGCACTTCGGTGCTCGGATCATAGTTGTTCAAACGAACTGAACTGAACTGTGTGTGCGTGGGTTAGTTTATGGAGATCAGACGTTTAACTTGTAATCACTTCGCGTTGGCCCTGGTCACCACTCCTTCGAAGATTTGATCGCCGTAGTAGCACCCACCCAAGGCACAATGCGATATATAAATGTCGGTATAGATGGTTAGTGCGATCTGGACGCTGTTACTACGCATATTATTCTTTTTTGAATTCAGGTAAGGTCGCGTCATGGATTGCCTAAATTGGGTAAATATTCCGTGGTTGACACATCCGTAAGGAGGAGAAGCCTCGACCATATTCGACTATTTTGATTGACTAGCTTTTGCTTGTATTACCTCGAGTTTTTGTGGCTAAGCTTCAAGATGTGACAACACGCATATTTACGGAGCTCCCTAGGAACTAATGCACCATTATGGTGACACCCTGCAGACGGTGACACCGTCCGCTGTACTATCACTTCAGGTATAATCTGTTTGAGTAGACGGGAGAAACACATGATCTTTTTAATTGCCTCTGGCTGTCAAGTTTCGAACGTCGCGCGATCTTCACTCTTGACTACCAGATTAGAATCGACTATTCCAGAGGTGACCTCACAAGTGTTAAGCTAGAAGAAGCCGGAAGGGGTTTCAAACTCAGGTAGCAGTGAACACCAGCAGGTGCCTCAAACAATACCCCACTGGCAAGTTTTGCTGAGCTTCAATTCTCGTTGTTTGGTTGCCGACTATTTTTTAACTCCTAACTTTCTATTGTACTCTCCTTTTTATAGACATTGTAACATTGATGTCGGTTAGACGCACCATTGAGTCCATGCGAGAAGTGTTGCATTGTGCTAAGCTTGATCATCACTGCTCAAGCGGGCCAATTCAAGCAGTCACTTTTGCCAGCAATCTATCGTCCGATGAGTATCGGTTATTTGAAGTTTCGGAAGCGTTGGCTGCTCATTTGACTCAACCGGACTCGCGAATCGTGATGGAACTAAAAGAAGAACCCAAGAAGAACAACGCTGGAAGGACCTTTGCTTGTACAGCAACTGAGACGTTTACCATAACTGAAGCGGAAACATCCAATTCACTGCTGTTGGTTTCTGATTGGTGGCTTCCCAATCAGGAATCGAGGTCGGACAAAGAGAACGAGTGTGCTTTGTACCCCACGGTGAATGCCATGAAGTCCACCTACTATGAACTCCATGGCTGCATCGCCCCCTCACTACGTTTGTTGAAGCAAGTTTTGTACACCTCACTTTACAGTGGACCATTTGAAGAGGCCATTGATTCTGACGATGACACGGCTGCAGTTGTTCCAGTACATCCGACCAGAGATGATTTGGCCGCAAAATTCCCTTGTAGTCGGAGCGAGTTAGCTCGCGCTTTACTTCGTCTACGCGCATACGAATTCGGTGGTGCTGTAAGGTTGATGGATTCGGATTATCTGTGCCAGGTGATTTCATTTAGATAATGCTGTTTCCCCTTGATGTTACATCCATAATATATGTGTTTGGCCAACTTGCGTTTCATCCGAGCGTATTCACTCTATTTGAGGCGCAAATATTTGCTGTGTGTGGATTCTGTCACCATCGCTGCACACCTGATGTGCCAGTTGTCTCCTCATGTTTACCTTTACGCACAAAGACTTACCACGCCTTTTCACCACCGCAGTTGAACTGCGAGGTGTGTGCTTGTAACTGTCTCACAAATGAATTGATGCTTGCCAGTAATTACGTGACTGACAGCTGGATGTAGCGTAATGCCCATCATCTGAGCTCCAAATTGCTGGGAACCCACTTATCTTGATCCGTTTCGCTTTTCACTGCATTAAGTCTGAACCTTTCTGTCGTTCTGAAACATACATGCTTCTGTCATCCATTTGGCTAGACTGGCAGCATTTCTTTTAAGTGACCTCAGCGGCGCCTGTGCCAAGGACGCTTGATAACTAGATCCCGAACGTACTCGGTTTCAACGTTCTCGACGTCGGAGGTAATAAGTAGATAGATTGCCTCATTCATAACCATGTTAATCACGGTAGTCAAAAGGGTTCGGTTGCTATTCTAATGGTCGCGGGTTCGAGGCCTGCTATCTCTATCTGATGAGGTGAAATGACATCGAAGCGCGTCGGGCTTGTGCAGTCTTTTCTGGCGGCTAACACCCAATTTCCATCTGCTTTGGCTACGGTCCCAGTGATCACAGTGACCAAGGTTCACTTTAATGTGGATCGCGGTCCACATTGAGATTGCGCGTCGCAATCCAATCACACAACATGTAGTCCAAAATTGACCCTCCAGTGTTGGCCAAGTGTGCTGGTCGCAAGCAACTTCATAGGAGTGAAGCACACTTAAGTGATCGTTGCAGAATCTTGTACCGCATGTTCAGTTTGGTTTAAAATGTTTCGGAAAACTGGTAGCTCGGGTTACTGATTCAGTTGCTCATTTGTTCGCCGAGCTTGGAAATTTGTTTGCAAATGTTTCACCGCCATGCGAGGCGACATCATCAGTGCGTCGAGATGTGGAGTATAATCTCGCTGATTGAATTGTCGATCCATGATCGGCGTGCAGGTGACTTTTCGAAAGTGACAACTTCGATTTGCGTCCTGTGATATCTATCCATTTCCCCGTGGCAGAAGCCGTTGCTCGGGTTGTTCCTATTCAAGCGGCGTCTTATAATTTCGCTAAGTTCTCTCCGTCGGAGGGGTTGGTAAACTAGGTCAATCTTGATATGCATGTTGATCGAGTCTTTTGTTGAGAACCACACTTTCAGGAACTCCCTTGCTCTTCTTGTTTCACCTCGTGCTAGGACTTCTGTTTTGGCCCAATCAAAGCTGTGTTCTTTTTCATCCACTTGCTGAGACTAGCGATGATACATAGTGCCTTTTGCATGCTCTTTTGTGCTCCTGTAATCATGTTGATAATTTTCTACCTGTTTGGCTAACATAGTCCTTTTCGCAATTTCTACATCTTAGTCTATACACAATATTACTTTGCTCATGAGCTTCCAGTTTCTCTTTCGGTTTCGACAGAGTTTTCCTCAATGTAGCAGTTGGTTTGTGTGCTAGGATGAAGTGATGTTGTTTAGATAGTCTTGCTGCCATTTCGGATATATTCTTCATATAAGGTAAAACAACGTGCTACATTGAGGAAAACTCTGTCGAAACCGAAAGAGAAACTGGAAGCTCATGATCAAAGTAATGTGTATAGACTAAGATGTAGAAATTGCGAAAAGGACTATGTTGGCCAAACAGGTAGAAAATTAGCAACACGATTACAAGAGCATGAAAAAGACACTATGCATCATCGCTAGTCTCAGCAAGTGGATGAAAAAGAACACAGCTTTGATTGGGCCAAAACAGAAGTCCTAGCACGAGGTGAAACAAGAAGAGCAAGGGAGTTCCTGAAAGCATGGTTCTCAACGAAAGACTCGATCAACGCGCATATCACGATTGACCTAGTTTACCAACCCCTCCGACGGAGAGAACTTAGCGAAATTATAAGACGCCGCTTGAATAGGAATAACCTGAGCAACGGCTTCTGCCACGGGGAAATGGATAGATATCACAGGACGCAAATCAAAGCTGTCACTTTCGAAAAGTCACCTGCACGCCGATCATGGATCGACAATTCAATCAGCGAGATTATACTCCACATCTCGACGCACTGATGATGCCGCCTCGCATGGCGGTGAAACATTTGCAAACAAATTTCCCAGCTCAGCGAACAAGTGAGCAACTGACTTAATTTGGTTGTTTAAATTGATCGTCGCCATTTTTCCCCGCACTGCGCTTGGTTTCTATTTCGCAACCGTGTCGTGGGCTGCATCTTTTCGTTCCCCTAACTACCGACCTCTATCGGTGTCGTTTTTTATAGCTGCTACAACTGAGAACGTTACACTGTACTAAATAAAAGCTACCCTGCGTCGATCCGCTCTTAAGAGCGGCAGCCTGGGCTGCCGTTAACAGCGTACATTCTGTTGGTGGTGATAGTGATAGTCTCCACTTGTCAGAATGACATCATACGGCTTACCGTAGACCCTGACAACCTTCAGTACTCTAGTGCATCATAATTTGTCCATACACTTTACGAGATCTTTGAACCTGACCGCTTTTTTCACGTGATCGAAAAGCGTCTTCACACCGTTCCTGATTTACATGCGGCGTTGTTGCTTCACTGAATGCGGGACGATATTTGCATCTTCACGTTTTTTTATAAACGTGATGTAAATCCCGCTCCATAGGGTTTCGGTGTTGTTCTCTCCAATAACTGTAATGATGAAAGAGGGACGTTTATGTCAAAGTAAACTTTGTACCCAATTGAGACTACATGTCACAACCCAGGCAGATGGCGGACACTCCAAAACAGCAATTTACATCGAACTGCTTCATCACTACCTTGTAGCTTCTTACAACTGATTCGGCCAAGCACTCGATATATTTGGTGCTGAGCGGCAGTATCACTTTAGCCTCGCTTTCGAGCAATCACGCAGTCATATTCATTGTTTGTTCATCTGAATCACACGTGTGGATAGATTACGGCATGCTATTTCACTCTTGACGGTGCTATGAAGAAAGCATCAGTTGTACCCCGGTACGCCCTACCGATGCTTCGCTGCCACACAAACATCACCAGTCGCGCTTAGGCTAAGTTTACTGCGGAGATCGCCTGGTGCTCCACGCAGGCTCGAACCCGCGACCTCCGGGTTGCAAGGCAGATGTATTGTCCTTTCGGCCAGAAACCGAGGTGGATCCACATAATACATGCTTCAAATTAACAAAAACCGAATCGTATAGGTTGAAATTCGTCATATCTAGACTCACTCAGACAGGCATCATACGCCCGGAAAAGCACTGTACGCGCGTTTCATCCTTTCGCGAAACGTCAGCAGTGGTCTGAACCACCGACTGGCAACAGTCGAGCTGCTGGTTCGAGCCCTACCAGGGTCCGCTGAAATGCGCACTGCTGACGATTCCCGAAAGGATGAAATGCGCGCACAGTGCTTTTCCGTGCGTGTGATGGCTGTATGAGTGAGGAATTTTTACCTATACCATTCAACTCCCCTACTACTCCCCTGTAAAAAACCGAATCATTGACCGGCGGCGTAGAAGTAACCGTCAGTCGGCTATTTCCACCTCCTTGGTTCGGGTCGTAGTTGTGCTCTCACTACGTAGACACGAACCCACTCGAAAAGAGAGGTTACGCGAATGGTCACTTAGCCTGTACTTAGCACAGACTTCTCGCTTCTGTTTATTCTTCTGGTCGATCGCATTTATTATCTGATATTTGTGGACTCTCGTCTCCATCGTCTCTGTGCTTATGACGCCCCTCCTTTTTCTATTCCCAGGTAGTACGTGATGTGTTCTCCTGTGCTGATGAGAACGGTTGGAGTTGGCGCACTATTGGCCTTCCTTACTGCGCTGTTATCGATAGTCTCTCACAGTCGCATGATCACTCTGTGTTAAGACAAGTTCTGTCACAATTCTTCGCCCGTCGTCTTTGCGGTAGATACGCGTCCGCTGCCGATGAGTGTTTCGTGTTTCCTCGGAACTCTGTCATCTGTCAGCTGATTGGGGAACAATTACTTTCCGTTACAACTAGCTTCGATATGAAAGATTTTCTTGCAGTTTGGAAAGCCACAGTGCCAGAGGGACTTCGACCTAAACTGCGAAAACATCTCACGTGTGCTGGGCGAGCTTTCTCTCACCTGCCATCCGTCCCGACTTCTTCGATTAATGCTGGTGGTGGTACCACTTCGCTTCCTTTCCGTAGCTTATCACTGCTTCGCTCAGAAGATCTTCCGGACGAAAGCGTGGAGTCTCGAATTTCCGCTTTATTTGCTCAGTCGAAGTATTGGCCTGAGTTCGAGTTGGCAAGCTACTTGACAGATATTTTGGTCAGTCCTGTGGAACCCAAGGAATCTGCCAAACAACACTTTTCCAGTGGCCCTTCCGTCCCCTACGCATCTTCAGACAGTGAATCCGATTTCGAATACATTGACGTAGTCGATCTGGACAAGGAGTTCGATTGCGTGGATATTCCGAAACCGTTTCCTTCGTGCATTGGGGCAGCACTGACTAGACTCTGTCGTGTGACTACGACACATTCAGGCAGGTTCTACTCGGAGAAGCATCCTAAAACATAATTTACGGTTGTACACTCTCTCCTGTATACATTTTTCACACCTTTTGTAATTTTCGATCTTACTTAACAGGATCCAAGTGTTTTTCTTGTTTCAATTATGTGCCAATCTGAGAGTTTGCTAGTTGCATTTTTCTGGAGCGCTGCTCATCCCGCTTATTTTTCTATGCAAGCATGTTTTGATGGTGTTATTTACTTTATGAATCATATTTTTTCATCAACTCTCCCATTTTGCCTCACATCTCATGCGAATTTAGAAGAATTGCGTCGAGTAGCCTTCCAAAAGTCAAAATAAGCTGGGCAACAATCAGAATCAGCTGTTTGTAAAGGATCATTTTATATTGTACATATGTGGAGGGAACGCCATTTAATCATGATGTCTTCACCATGGTTGCTTTCCATCTTTTGCGCCTTCCGCGCTGTCTACGTTCATCAGTCCGTACCTTATGGTCGCTTCAGTCGTATTCTACTTCGCCTGCGTTATCCGCCTCATTTCATGCGTAGGCGCGTCGTCTCTCCTTTGTCTGTCTGACCAGCCCACACGCTTCATCCGCTCATGGCTGTTCCAGTCAGTCCGCTTTGCGGTTGTTCGTGACAAAGATATGTTTTGTTCCTTGTAGGCTGAGCCGATACTAATTCTTCTTTCTGACTCGTCCACGCGTGATCAGGTTGCGTTGATAGCGACTGATTGGCCTCATGCTTGTCTACAACCGGTCATATAAATAACTTATTTCGTGTATTTACCGACAAGCTGTATACAGCCCCATAAGCAGGAGCGATCAGCTTCGTTCAAACAACCAGCTATTACCACAAAGAACACTGCTGTATTTTCGTCGAACGACCGGCACCATGCACCGTTAGGTATGAGTGCTGACGCACAGCGTGTGTCTATTATTGAGTTGGCACTACGTTGACCTGTTGCGTACGTCCACAGTCGAACAACACCATTAGCTTGTTCATCTAGTTGTCAACTTCCATCACTTCTATGGATACGATTGAAAGAATCTGTCTTACCAGCGAATCGTGATGTCGTGCTTCGTAAGTTTCTGCATCCTCGCGCCTATCTGCCTTTGTCTTTGTAGGCCACTGTGGCCGATCGTGGTCAAAGGACGCTTGCGTTTAGCAGGAAACTACAGGCTGCGTGTGCTGCGCAATCTACATCCCAACAACTTGCGCAACTCTAAAACCGTGTAAGACGCACAATTGGTTAGGTGCTACCGGGGCAGCTCAGTTTAGTGCATAAATGAGGTGCGGTGGATCCAGTTGTGTTGACACATGTCGCCAGGTTAACGTTAATAATGATAATGTCTCAAAGTTGCTGAACGTGAGTTGGAATGTATGGATGAGCACCGCCGACCCTTTGACAGCGCCTCACTCGATAAGGTGGCCGATCTCGAAGACCGTACACGTGAAGATGACAATAATCGAGCTGACTGAACCTTACGGTGAGTCTCCTTAGACTTTCAATTGTCATTCACTGGTCGTCTCGAGATTTCACCCAACTAGACGCTGTAATCGCAAACCATCCGCGCTTAGTTAAGCTGTGTGCAGACTTGAGTGGGCAGACCTTGAGTGGGCACTTGATATTCCTATTTCCGTATCTACCTCCTTGTTTGAAGTGAAGTAATATTTTCTGCAAATACACGTTTATGGACCAACTCAAATGAGAGTGCGAATCCTAACTTCCTACATCAGTCATGGTGGATCCAATGGAGGGTTCTTACAACACTCGGAGTAGTTAAGTTTTGACGACGGATTGCATAGAGCCATAGTGAATGAACGCTGCACCGAGTGAGATTATTCTGAGTCAGCCGACGATGTGATCCACCTGATGTCCTTAATGCACTTGAATGTCTGCATCATCGGATTTCCCCTTACAAGCTCTATTAGTACGAATTCGATGTTTCTCTGTTGATTGGTATCGTCAACTATTTCAACCGCAATTAGTGGTATATATGTACTTAGCAACAGTTGACGGATAGACAAGAGCCATCAAAAACCATGGGACTCAAAACAAGGTACAGAATTAATAAAAGAAAACAACAACGTTACGAAACGGTATTTTATAAGGGGCCGTAACTGCTACGTTGGAAGAAGCAAGGCCCCAGCTTACTCATCAAGTCAGAATCCAAAAGTTGCTCGAAACATTCTTCAGTCTGGGCGTCGACCACAAGTTTTGGCAAGTCGTTCCAGTCATTTACAACGCGAGTTGATAGAGCGATAGTGGAGCGAACTCTGCGTTTTCTGGGTTTAAATGGTTTCCAGTTGTGCCCCCTAGTGGAACTATTAGTGTTGATTTGAAAGAACACTTGTAGCTCCATCCCTGTTCAGAATTCGCCTAGTAAAAATCAGATCACCTCTACGTCGGCGATATTCCATGTGGAACAGGTGCATCCGTTGTAGTCGAAGAGGGTAAGGCAAGTCTCTTAACTCCAGTATGGATTTCGAAGCACGCCGCTGGACCTTCTCAATCAAGTCACATTCGAACTTGGTAGGAGGACTGGTGGTGGGAGTCCGTATTCAAGGATCGGGCGCACATGCGAGGTAAACAGGATTCTGAAGATTTCCTGAGTCACTCGCGAGAAGGCTGTCCTTATGGCATGGGACATCCTCTTGGCAACGACAACCCTCCGTAGTGTGTCTTCTTTGCTCCGGAAATCATGTGAGACAAGCACATCGTGATCTTTCTCAAGTATGGTGGTTCTGAGTAACACCCCACCAATATGGTATGTCACGAACGTTTCAGGTGCGCCTATGGGGAGAACTGAGCATTCTTCACGATTTATGGGCAATTGGCAGTTGACTGGTCGGTCGTGTAGCATGTCCATTGATGCCTGCAATCTGTCAGCATCCTCGAGACAAGATACCTCAAAAGCACAGGTTGTTTTCATTTCAACGTTTAGGACAATTTTAACAAACCTCAACTTGTCGTGTAAATCACATGTTTCTGAAACTTCTTGTTCTTCCTTCAAGTTAGAGGAGCTAGACACACACGTGGTTGCTTTTATCAACCCTGCTGTTGCTCACTTTTCTGACAATACGGCGTTTATCATATCGTTACGCATCTGCACGTCTGACATAATCTAACGGGGTTACTGTTTCTCATTCTGTTGCCTGACCGGGTTCACGTCTTGCTGTCAATTTACACATCATTTCCCCACTAGTCAGCTGCGTTATTCATCAACTATCCTAATCCTGACATGCAGCCACCGCTAGTGACAAAGAACCAAGTAGAGTTTTTCCAGCTTTCCGTGTACATCTAGCCCCCATCTTGAAAAGTAATGCTTATTAACGGCAAGCGTCACTGACCATTCTGCGTCTAAATCCAGCTCCTCCATTCTGAAATTTCTGTAGATCTCCAGCTACTCTTCGACAAACAGTAGTAAACAAACGTTGGCGATCAGGCTCAATTTTGTCGCGACCTATGTGTGCAAATGTAGTCTTTCTGGACACGCAGTCTACCCTGGACCCTAGCACACTGACATTCAGTGTGAGCTCTACCACCCACATGCCTTTGATCATTTTCAAACCGAGCACCTATGGTAAGTTCCAAAATTCTGATCCCTGTATTCTGTTAGTGCGGGACAAAGGGTCATTCTTTCGGGTGTGTGGTAGAGCGCACTAAATTGCTGACTGTTCAATAGTAGATGTTGGTCAATCTAAAAATGTCTCACACGGTCACATGGGTGTGAACAACCGGTATGTATGCATCTGGGTACATGTGTACTTGCCG